AGAAAGCAGGATCTTTGGAAAAGCCAATAATGCTGGGAAAAGTAGAAGGCAGCAGGGAAAGAGGAAGACCAAATACAAGATGGATTCACTCCATAAAGGAAGCCATAAGCATGAGTCTACAAAGCTGAGTAAGGCTGTTGCGGACAAGACGTTGTGGACATCACTCATTCATAGGGTCATCGGGAGTTGGAGCTGACTTAAGGGCGGGTAATAAGTTGTAGATCGCTCATCGTCACTGCTAAATAGTATTCCATTTTATGATCATAAAGATATTAGTCAGTTTTAATGCCTAGGGGCATTTGGTACTTCCCAGTTTGGAACTACTAGGAATAGTGCTCTAAACATTCAAGAACATGTCTTTTGATGGACGTATATGTTCATTTCAGTGTGATGTATGACCAGGAGTGGAATTGCTGTATCATAGGGATTGAGAATGTTCAGCCTTAGTAGATATGAAAAGTCAACCTTTTGAATGTGACCCTGATGCAATATAGATATAATGTCAAGGATGCCCAGCATTTTATATATATTACAGTAATAGCCACTCTTTATCAATGCCACATCTGTTTTACATAAAAAATTTAACATGTTCACAAAGCACTGGGAGTATTTTTTAAATATTGCAGAGGAGGAAACTGAGGCTTGGAGAACATTTAACCACTAAGCGTTTCCCTCTAAAAAGTGTCAGAGCCTTCACTAACTCCAAATGTGGAACTCACAGCTGTGCAGCAGCATTGTGATGAAATGTAATCAGAGGTCTAGCTCTGGCTTCAGCACTCACTAGTTCTTTAGCCTTCGGCAAGTTTGTTATCTCTTTGGGTCTCTGAGTTCTTGTATGTGATGTGATAAAAGTCTTCTGTATGGGGATCAAACGTGATAGTGTATGTGAAAGTCTTAGAAGAATACTGTGATGCAAAATGTAATGTTTGGTTTCATAATAGCCAGAGATTGAGCCAATCCCAGTTTTGTTTGTCATGGTCTCAAGATATTTGCCATAGGTTTGCATATTGCTTTTTAAACTGCTCCGTAAAAGAAAAATCATAATTCTTTTTAAAAGAAAAGAATACATTTTCTTGAAACAGATGTAAGCAATACTGAAAAGTGTAATATGTGAAATGATAGAGTCTCTTCTCCAGTTCTCTGTTTCCCCCAAAGACGGGTACATCCATCTAGATTTTTTTCCTATATATTTATAGTATATAAGTATATGGGAGTGTAAACATGCTCTATCTACTATTCTGCAACCTGCAAATGTATGTTTTCATTTTTCTGTGTATACTCAGGAATAGAATTGATGGGTCATGTGGTAACTGTATGTTTCATCTTTGGAGGAGCCACCAGATTGTTTTCTAAAGTGATTGCATTGTTTTACAATCCCACCAGTGGTGTATGAGGGTTACAATTTCTCCACATCTTTGTCAACACTTATTATCTTATTTATTTTTTTTTTTTTTGCTAGGAAATGTTCTCCCTGGGCTAGTATCTGTTGCCAATCTCCCTCTTTTTTTTTTTTTTTTATATGGCCACCACAATAGCATGGCTACTGACAGATGATTAGCATGGTTCCATGCCTGGGAACAGAACCCAAGGCCGCTGAAGCAGAGTGCACCGAACTTTAACCACTAGGCCATCAGGGCTGGCCCTATTATCTGTCTTTTTGACTACAGATATCCTAATATGTACTAGTCTCATTGTAGTTTTGATTTGCATTTCCTTGATGGCTAACAATGTTGAGTATGTGTTCATGTACTAATTGGCCATTGTATATCTTCCTTGGACACATGTCTATTCAGATCCTTGGCTTATTTTTTCAGGTGGGCTGTCTTTTTATTATTGAGTTGAAAGAGTTCTTTTTATATTCTACATATGGGTCCCTTATCAGATATGTGATTTGCAAATATTTTCTCTCATTCTGAGCTGTCTTTTCACTTTTTAAATGTTATCCTTTGATGCATAAAAGTTTTTAGTTTTGATAGAGTTAATTTCATCTATTTTAACTTATGTTGCTTGTGTTTTGATGTCCAAACATTCCCCTAATCCAAAGCTACAAGATTTACTCCTATATTTTCTTCTAAGACTTCTATAGTTTTAGCTCCTACATTTAGGTCTTTGGTCCATTTTGAGTCAATTTTTGTGTATAGTTTGAGGTAGGATTCCAAATTCATTATTTTGCATGTGGATATCTAGTTGTCCCAACAAAATTTGTTGAAAACACATTCTTTCCTCCATTGAATTTTCTTGGAACCTTTGTGAAAAATCAATTGACTGTGAGTGTGAGAGTTTATTTCTGGACTCTCAAACCTCCATTGATCTTTATGTCTATCTATATGCCTGTACCACATTGTCTTGATTACAGTTGCTTTGTAGTAAGGTTTCAAATTGGGAATTATGAGTCTTGAACTTTACTGTTTTCCAAGATTCTGAAAAAAAAGGAAAAAAAGGATTCTTGGTCTCCTGAATTTCCATAGGAATTTTAGGATCAGCTTGTCTATTTATGCAAAGAAGCCAGCTGGAATTTTGATGGGGATTGCATTGAATCTGTAGATCAGTTTGCAGAGTATATTAGTTTGCTAGGGCTGCTATAATAAATCCCACACACTGGGTGGCTTAAACAACATAAGTTTACTTTCTCACAGTTCTAGAGGCTAGAAATTCAAGATTAAGGTGTTAGCAGAGTTGTCTTCTTCTGGGGCCAGGAGGGAAGAATCTGTTCTAGGCCTCTCTCCTTTGTTTGTGGATGACTATCTTCTCCTTGTATCTTCACATGGTCTTCTCTCATGCATGTTTGTGTCCTAATCTCTTCTTATAAGGACATCAGTCATATTGGATTAGTGTCCACTCATATGACCTCATTTACCTTAATTACCTCTTTAAAGGCCCTATCTACAAATACAGTCACATTCTGAAATACTAGGGATTAGAACTGCAACATATGACTTTGGGGGAGCCACAATTCAGGCTATAACAGGGACTAGTGCCATCTTAACTTAGACTAACTAAGTTAACTAAGACTCAATATTAAGTCTTCTTATCCATGAAATGGGATGTCTTTCCATTTATTTAACTTTTCTTTATTTTCCTTCAACATTGTTTTCTAGTTTTAGAGTCTTCTTTTGAGGAAACCCAAACACCAATACTCTAAATTATTTTCCAAATTTCCTGGGAATTTTTATTATCTTAGATTCAGAAAACAGGAATCCTAGCAGTTGGTTAAAACTTATATCAAATACCACTATGTCTCTGAATTCTTTTCCAATCCTCACCTCAATAGTATGTAGTTTCACTCTTCCCTCCATAACACTTCCCTGTGGCATCTCTATTCTGCCTCTTCTTATCATCTCCTACCCAAAAGCATTTAAAGAGAAAATCATCCTGTGCCTCTTGAAATACATGGTCTACAATTTGACTTGGTCAGTAATAGACCCCCAAATCTCTGCTGCTTCTGCTTTTGATCCCTCTTGACTGGCCCCAGCATCTCTAGAGAAGCCTGACACTCCAGCTTGATAAACAGCAAGACTCCTTGAAGTGTCTTGGACCATCTTGTTTACAGGCAATGTGCAAAGAGAGAATAAAGAGAGCAAAGATGAAAGGAGGAAGGGCAAATCACTTATATATGGTTAACAATCAAGGGAAGGGGTGTAGGCATTTTTGAGTTGGCTGTCAGCTCCTCCAAAACCATACATAGTGTAAGGCCAGGGCTTAAACATGGTTCCAGATCTACTCTTAAATGTATTTTTAGCATCTGGTACCCTGAAACAACCCCCACCCCTGCACTGCAAGTTCAGGAATTCCGCTGAAAACTTGTACTGGAGAAAGAAGAGCCACTTCCTTTCCCTGTGGCTGGGGCTGTTATCCTGCAGAGAGCATGGATGTGTTTTAAGGGAATTCCTGATGATGCACCTGAAGTTACTCAACCCTGTGTGTGTGAATGTGAACACACACGAATGTGCATGCTACTGGGTGGAGGAGAGGAGGCAGAAATCGATGGACAAATGGCTCTGTGCCCAAAGAAAATGAAGAACCACAGAGATGAGGGAAGCAGCTTAACAAAGAGAGAAGAAACTGGATTTGGGGATACTGAGCCCAGCTCTCCATTTACTTTGTGAGGAACTTCTCTGAGACTCGGTTTCCTCATCTGGAACATGAGGATAAGACCTGCTTCACAGATTGGTGAGGATTAAATGATGAGCACATGGTGGTACAGAAGAAAAAGCTGACAAAACAAGAACTGTACTGCTTTTGAGTTTCAGGGAAAAAAATGGGTCAGAAGTTGCTTTATTAAAAAAGAAAATTGAAGAAACAGAACACCATAATCATAAATTAAGGCATTTTTTACTTTAAATACATTAAGATTTATGAAAAGTTTAATAAGCTTATTGTCGAACAATTTTTATCAAGTGATGTAAATATTAAATCATCATTTATTTTCACATTAATCATTGTTAAAATCACTTACACAATTCATCTAAATAATGTTTTCCCAAGTTTGGAGACAACTAAATCATAAAGGTCCATATGTGTAAATAGGAACATAACTTAAAATTTATTTGCACTGAGAGAATCCTTATTCATCCAAGAAGAAGATATCAAGGAACTAAAAATGTATTTGATTTTAAAATTTTTAGTAGTTTTACATGTAAGTAGTAATCAATTTAAAGCTAAGATTTTAACTTAGATTCATAAAGGAGAAACTCAAATCTGATATTTTTTAATATATAATGCTTTTCTTGCACAATAAGTAATCATTTAACCTAATTAAATTATTAAATAAATTCAACAAATAATAAATAACTTTAACAAATAATTACTAAGCACCAATAATGTACCAGGCACTGTTAATCAGTGTTACTCACTTTTCCTTTCAGACCTAAAGCTTTGTCAGTTGTGTGTTGTGAGATACTAAAACGAATGCTTTTTCCATCTGTTGTATTTTCTGCAGAATCAGTCTCCTCTCAAACAAGTGAACAGGTACGTAGTTTATAAAATTCTTGAAACATCATTGGTCAGTTTGTTTTAAAAGTGATGGGAACAAAACTCTAAGTCATTATTAAAAAGAAAAAAACTACACATACACACCAGTTGTGGCAGCTCTTCCCAGGACTGATTAGCATCAGAGATGTCCCACAATCAAATAAAAGATTACAGTTTTCCTGAGATTGTTTCCTTTTCCCCACCCAAGTGTTTGTGGAAGAAAGTCTGGAGCTGCTTCCAGGCATCCACCTGGGCCATGGCATGAGCCCTGGGCTCCCCTCCCCAGATGACAGGATGGCCCACCAAGGTGTGCATGGAAGCTGGGCACATGGGG